GAGCGTCAGCAGGCATGAAGCCCCTCAGCTCCCTGTGGCCGCGGTTCGCCATTCCCAGCCAATGGGAGCTGCGGGAAGTGATGTCCTCCCCCCCTCCCCCCCCTGTTCAAAATACTCTACTTTTGATTTTTCATAATCTAGTTCTGTTTACATTTAAAGATCATAAACAGCATGTTCCATGCTTAAAGTTTTCCTAAGACACGCCATATTGCAAAATCTGACCCTTTAGGTTTTATGCAAAGTACAATTTGAAAAGCAAACTAAAAAAAATTAGTTTTTATTAAAAATAATTTTCCTGATTATGTCCACTCCATTTTAGAACACAGATTTACTGAGCTTTATAGATGGCTAAATTAAAGACGCTACAAAATAAATGAGAAAATAAATCTTGAATATAATACTTTAAGATCACACTTCTTTGCTGATAAAATTGAAAAGTAGTAGAATTACAAAAAACTGTTGTACATTTGTCTAGACTATTTCTTAGTTCATGTTTTTGTTTTTAAAGGTGTACAAGCCATCCAAGTTGGCCTCTATACTAAAGGCTACTCAGCAGAAAACTAGGAAAGAAGACAGCATACGCAAAAAGGTCCTAAATATCCTCTTGTATAAAGCTGTGACAGACTTGATGTGCACCTGTGAAGTCAGTCAAGAGGTTTGTGACCTCAAGCTGGAACTCACCAAGGCAAGTACAAAAGCCATAGTTCATGTGAAGTCACTTTGACTAAGTTGTGGAACAAGATAATGCGATATTCAAAAACAACTTTTAGACGCCAGCCCTCTATTCTGATCTATGCAAGTGGACTGCTGTACCATGCAGCACCTTCCATGGGGCTCAGTGGGGGCACAGCAGTTTGCTTGCAAGGATCACAATGCACGATCAGGGCCTTAGGCCATGTCTATATTAGGAATACTTGCCAGTGTAGCTATGCCCATGTATGATGCCTGTCCCAGTGGGACACAGTTTATACCGGCTGTGACTGGGGTTCCAGGGGGGCCCACACTGAGGTTACTCAATTAGGGCAAACTGCAAAGAATGGGGCAGACAATCCCCAAAGCTGGTGGATGTTCCAATACTTAGATTTACCAAGCCAGCACAAAACAGCTTCTACAATACCTTACTGGTTGCACAGAAGTCAAAACACAGTTCCCTTATAGCAACCCAGCCTTGGGCTTCCACACAGACACCCAAGTCAAATATGATGAGGATTATTTAAAATCTTAATCATATAAGAAAGTTCTACCAATCCCAAAGGATCAGACACATTACCTCCCAAGTTAATGAATATTTCAGATCTTACCCAAATACACGCTTACAGCTAATTCTTAACTAAACTAAAATGTATTTTTAAAAAAAGAGAGAGAATTGGTTAAAAGATCAGTATACATACAGACATGAGTACAGTTCTGAGATCAGTTTCATAGTAGAGATGGTGAGCTTTGGAGTTGCAAAGAGTACTTAGAATTAGTCCATAGAGTCAGTCCAATGTTCTTATTCAGGGTGATCCAAGTGGGACTGGAGATCTCAGTCTTACGACTTAAGCTTCCCCTGCATAAAGCATCAAGCAGATCTGAGATGAAAGGATCAGGTCCCAAGGGTTTTTATACAGTTTTCTGGCAGCCTTTTGACCATACAGTCCTGGGTGAACAATAGGCATTTGAAGTAACCTTCTATTTCCTAAGCATCACCGGTAATTAACTACATGGATTAACATAAGGTAATTATCCATTGAGCAGTTCATATACAATTTTCGACAAACTTCAAAGAGACATAGACAATGACATTATTTCACCCAAGATCCATCTAACTGTTAATATTCCCTTTTGATCTCTAAATCAGTAGCTATAGTAATAGACAGGAATTGTCTGTTTACATGGCTAACATCTAACAAGCTATAAGTAAACATATACAATTAGTATCTCCTCTAATTCTCTAACAATATAGGTTTTCTAATGACCATTTATCTACTTTTCTAACATGTTTCTAAGAGTTAAATCTGGGTCATTTATCCTGCGAGTTGCTTAACCCTTTCTGGCCATGTCACACCAGCAAAAGCAGAGTTTTGTTGGTATAACTGCATCTATACTAGAGGCTTTTGTTGTCACGGATGTGTCAGTCAGGGATCACACCTCTTCACACCCCTGACTGACATAGTTAGAATTCTGTAATGTAGACACGGCCCTAGTTCAAAAAGGCCAAGCTAATAACATTACTTTGATGCTAAGCAAGATTAAAAAAGGGGTTGGACCTGTATACGGAGAACAACAATATACAGAGTTGTCATAATTAATGATCAAAACTAATTTGGAAGGGGATTAAACCTCATGTGTCAGGGCTTAAACCAACCTCTAACTATTAGAGATCAGGATGAGACCTAGTGGGACTATCCCACATCTGTGTATTGTGCGATTTTTTTTTACACCTTTCTCTGAAGCATCTCATACTGGCCAGTGTCGGAGACAAGATACTAGACTAGACGGGCGTTAGGTCTGCTCTAGTGTGGGAATTTCTGTGTTCCTAAATGGTTTTCTGAATCTCTGGGGGGTTTTGCAGTTAGTCTTTAACACAATACAAAATTTGAGAGAGAGGCTCTCATAACATGCTTTTTCTCCTGATATAACTATAAGTAATTACTGATATTAGCACATTACAGCAAGTCTCATGCTGATTCTGCCTTCCTCAGGGATGGGGCGGTGTGTGTGTGTGTGTGTGTGTGTGTATATAAAAGAGTGATCTCTGAAAAATCTTAACATTTGCCCTTGATTCATATTTGAGGGTTCTGTGTTTATCACCACGCTTCATTGCAGCTCTCATGGTCCTGTACTATGGCCATCAGATTTCTAGTTAGGAAAACGGGATGGATCCTATCAGTACTAGTCCATAATTCACTACAGGCAGTTGATCTCTCTGACACTGCACCCCATAGTCTTTATTGTGATATTATTATGATATGATTGACATAATTATGATGTATTTTATGCAAGATAAGTCATGTGAAGTGTCATTGGAAAAGTTATGATTTTCTGAATATGATTATCCTGTTCGTATGCATATATCATTTTTGTATCTGAAGTTATGAATATTCACTATAACTATTTCAAATGTAGTTACACCTGGGTAACGCCCACTAGACAAGATGCTTTCAGTCTAGATAGTGAGTGGGGAAGGGCCTATTCAGGGCAATGGGCTATTAGGAAAAATCTATAGGCCGTAGGAGAAGCTGATCTCCCATTGGTGATGAGCCTTTCTGAGAACACTCCAAAGGCCTGTGAGTAATGGCTGCTATGACTCTACAAGGACACGTGATCAGACCACATGATGCTGGACTCCATCTTGGGATGGCAGTATTTTTCCACAGACTGGTCTGGGAACCAAGCTTTGAAACAAAGAGTTTCTACCATATGCAAAAGCTATATAAGGCAGGGAGAGACATCATCTGGTGTTATTCACTCCCCACATAAAAAGACTCATGGAAACACCTGAGGCACAAAGACTGAACAGGGAGAAGTGCTGGATCCAGGCTAAAGGGATTTCCAGCCTGTGAATGAAACACCTGGGGATCCCAAGCTGTAAAGCAAGTGCAGCTTGCCCCTTAAGAATCTGCAGCCTGCTTGTATCATCTCTTAGGGTGAGAATCAGTTAATTCATATCCAATCTAATCTAGTATGTTAGGCTTAGTTTGCGTTTTTTGTTTATTTGCTAATCTGCACTGATCTCTTTGCTATCCCTTATAATCACATAAAATCTATCTTTTGTAGTAATAAACGTGATTTTGCTTTATCTAAACCAGTGAGTTGGAGTAAGTATGGGAATCTTAGCTCAAGGGGCAAAGGCTGTTGCATATTGAGGGAGGGGGCAAACTTTAAGAGCTTACGCTATACAGTTCCCTGTGCAGCGCAAGACGATATAACTTTGGATTTATACTCCAGAGGGGGGTGCGGGCCTGGGGAGCTGCCTTAGCTGTAGCCTTTCTATTGTTGGTTCATTGCAGGGGCTGGACAGAGAGCCTGCATGTAACTGCAGCTGGGTGTGGCCTTATCTGTATGAAGGCTGGTGAAAGTACAGGCTGGAGGGCTTTGCAGCTTGTCACAGCAATACAGTGTGACAGGGAGCCCATGCTGGTGGGTCAGAGGGCTCAGTGGTACCCCAGTTCCAGGTGGCACCCCAGGGGGGAACCCATCACACTCTCCCTTTCCTTAAGAGATTTATGCAGAGACTAAAAACACTCACCCCCAGCCCACAAATACATTCTTTATAGTGCTTGACCAGTAAAATGTCATAATATCCTAGAAGCTTAAGGTTTGTGTGTGCAGTCTTTTTTATTTATTTATTTTTTTAAAGAGAACTACACTTAAGTTGGCTGCAATAGTGCTTCCTAGTGCCAGATGAAGAATTGGAGTTTGAATCTTGAACTCATTTTTTGTTCCCTGAGTCAGCTGAAGCTGTGTGCACATTGCAGAGATACCATCCACTGTGGACTTGATGAAATGTATTGTGGTTCCTTCTGGCCAGTTTGAATGGGCCTTCTCTTTCCTGGAAGATGCTCCCCCTGCTGTTGTGTAATGAAGGAAGAGACCATTGCGCTCTTATTGCAGACTGGGCTCTCACACAGATAGGAACTGTAGGGGAGAGACTTCAATATTGATATTATAATTTTATTTTGCAAGTTTTTTTTATTAGGCCATTACAAACTTGTGTTATTGAATATTAAGATATAACTACAAATGTGTTGTAGTCAGGATGCTTGGAAATGCAACAATTAGAGCTGTTGAACGATTAAAAAAATTGCAATTAATCAAGTGATTAATCCCTGTTAAATAATAATAAAATACCATTTTAAAAAATTTGGATGTTTTTCATATTTTCAAATATTGATTTCAATGCAACACAGAATACGTGTACGGTGCTCACTTTATATTTTTATTACAAATATTTGCACTGTAAAATAAATAAAAGAAATAGAATTTGCTGGTACGTTTATTGAATGATTTTGTTCCTAGATCTTTGGGGTCACCCTCTTCCTCTACCCTTGCTCTCAGTTTTGGATCATTGCATAATTGCTTTTTCCTCAAGTCTGAATGCTTTACTACATGCATTTATAAAAATTAGGGCTGTCAAGCGATTAAACAGATTAACCGCGCGGTTAAACAATAAGAGAATACCATCTATTTAAATATTTTTGGATGTTTTCTACATTTTCAAATATATTGATTTCAATTACAACACAGAATACAAACTGTACAATGCTCACTTTATATTTATTTTTGATTACAAGTATTTGCACTGTAAAAAACAGAAGAAATAGTATTTTTCAGTTCACCTAATACAGGTACTGTAGTGCAATCTCTTTATCATGGAAGTTGCACTTATGTACAAAAAACTGCATTAAAAAATAAAACAATGTAAAATTTTAGAGCCTGCAAGTCCACTCAGTCCTACTTCTTGTTCAGCCAATTGCTCAGGTAAACAAACTCGATTGTATTTTCAGGAGATAATGCTGCCCACTTCTTTTTTACAATGTCACCTGAAAGAGAGAACAAGAGTTCTCATGGCACTGCTGTAGCCAGCGTCGCAAGATATTTACATGCCAGATGCGCTAAAGATTCATATGTCCCTTTATGCTTCAACCACCATTCCAGGGGACATGTGTCCAGGCTGATGACGAGTTCTGCTCAATAACAATCCAAAGCAGTGCGGACCGACGTGTGTTCATTTTCATTATCTGAGTCAGAGGCCACCAGCAGAAGGCTGATGTTCTTTTTTGGTGGTTCGGGTTTTGTAGTTTACGCGTCGGAGTGTTGCTCTTTTAAGACTTCTGAAAGCATGCTCCACACCTCGTCCCTCTCAGATTTTGGAAGGCACTTCAGATTCTTAAACCTTGGGTTGAGTGCTGTAGCTATCTTTAGAAATCTCACATTGGTACCTCCTTTGCGTTTTGTCAAATCTGCAGTGAAAGTGTTCTTAAAATAAACAGCATGTGCTGGGTCATCATCCGAGATGGCTATAACATGAAATATATGGCAGAATGCAGATAAAACAGAGCAGGGGAAATACAATTCTCCCCCAAGGAGTTCAGTCACGAATTTAATTAATGCATTATTTTTTTAATGAGCGTCATCAGCATGAAAGCATGTCCCCTGGAATGGTGGCTGAAGCATGAAGGGGCATATGAATGTCTAGCATATCTAGCATGTAAATACCGTGCAATGCCGGCTACAAAAGTGCCATGCAAATGCCTGTTCTCGCTTTCTGGTGACATTGTAAATAAGAAGCAGGCAGCATTATCTCCAGTAAATGTAAACAAACTTGTTTGTCTTAGTGATTGGCTGAACATGAAGTAGGACTGAGTGGACTTGTAGGCTCTGAAGTTTTACATTGTTTTGTTTTTGAGGGCAGTTATGCAACAACAACAAAATCTACATTTGTAAGTTGCACTTTTACAACAAAGATTGCACTACAGTACTTGTATGAGGTCAATTGAAAAATACTATTTTTTATTTTTACAATGCAAATATTTGTAATAAAAAATAATATACACTGATTTCAATTACAACACAGACTACAATATATTTGAAAATGTAGAAAAACATCCAAAATATTTAATAAATTTCAATTGGTATTCTATTGTTTAACAGTGCAATTAAACCTGCGATTAATCACGATTAATTTTTTTAATCGCGATTTTTTTTTTGAGTTAATAACATAAGTTAACTGCAGTTAATCGACAGCCCTAATAAAAATCTTTGCATTTTACAGGTATCCCTGTCACCAGACTTTTCAGCATGTCGTGTGTACTGGAACCCTGCTGAAAGTGCAGAGGAGGATGATCGTATTGAAAGTATTTTACAGAAAAGTGCCCCACGTATAAGGTACTGTTGTGTGCTGTAAAGTTTTGTAAACAATCACTCTGCTTCATAAATAGTCACTTTGTCTATTAAGAATTTCTGAAGGGAAATTTCTAAGGTATTTTTACAAATCATGAATGTGACATTCATTAAAATACTTTGGATCAGGACGTTGGACATCTGCACTTCTAGATATTTTGGGCCAGATTATCTCCCTTGATGAGGCACATAGATGGGCCGCATACTGACCATATCTGGCCAGCTGAAAATTCCCCTCGTGGGGTGCTTTCAACCCATGTATAGCTAGCATATGTAGCTCTTCCACCCAGGTCTGCTGAGTAGGGTGTGGCTGGAGTGCCATTCCACTTTGCTAATTGTTAGCTTGTAAAAGGTAGTAGCTTGGGGCTGCTATAAACTACAGTGCGGCCAGGGCTGGAACTGCGCAAGACAGAAAATCAGGGAGCTGCAACTGCCTGCCTGTCCTTTTCTCATTCACTGAGTTTTTTCTGTAAGTCAGTGTATTATTTCTGTATATTCCTATAAATCTTTTAGCTGTAAAGAAAGGGATTAATTTTCTCAAGTTTAAAAAAAGTAATTTAGACTGTGTAACTTTTTTGCATATAGAGAAAATCCTGTGTATGTGGGAGCCCTAGAAAATACTCCAGCTGCCCTACTATGTCACATCTTCATGTACACACACACACTTCACTGAGTTATTCAGTAACATCACTGTAGTCTTTGCTTCAGTAGATGTCCTATAGCTTACATCCTTATCCAACAAACTAGACCTAACTTGGACTTGAGAAATTCTTTTTCTAGTAGCAGAATGCTACAGACCATTAATCTATAGTATAGTCCTTTGAAATACTAGAATTTGTCATCTGAACTGATACCCTATAAACTTTGCAAACAGTACCCATGCTTCACAATGTGTTTGTTGCATTTTTATTTAACAAATATTGCATCTGTCTTAAAGATGCTGTACGATTGCTCATATCTGGGGACATTTTATTTTTTCCAGACATCTTTTGATTACCAATCAGGTCCTGAGAACTGTTCCTCCAATCGTGTTTGTTAAAGACAAAGAAGCTGCAGCTATAAAAGAGGTAAGATTCAATCACTGACTCAGCGTTTAAATATCACATGTTGCAGTGTGTTTTGGAACAGACATGTAAGAAGAACATGGAAGGCTTAATAGGTGTAATGTTTAAGTAGACACATAGTTGCTGCTCACTAGATCTGGAAAACAATTTAAATTGAAAACCAATTCCCCGTCTCTGGCAACAAGCTTTTCAATGTTTTGATAAGGGTCCCCAATTATTTTGATACTTTGGGGACAGTGGAAAGTAGAGCTATCTTTTTCATTAGTTTTGTTGACTTTATCTATAAAAACTTCTGAAGAGAAGAACACTGTCTAAAGATGCTTCCGGAAGATAGATAGGTTAATCCAGGAGAGAGATACATTAAATAACCTCAAATGAAAGACAGGAAACTACGGTCTTTGTAACCTTATGCCAAAAAGGAAGCAGAGCAGTGATGATGGTGACCAGCTGGCTAACTGCATTGCAGCTGGTTCAACTGTTATTTTTTTGTAAAAGGCGCTGGAATCTAATGGAGAGAAACAGAGATATTGTATATGGAGGATAATATCTAGCTAAAGGTAGCAGGCTTGCATACTAGTGGAAGTACTTTTAGAATAGTAATGTCTTCTAGGAATTCATTATTATTGAGCATGAGAGGAGGTAATATTAGGATTGTGAGATTCCCACGAATTAGAGAGCACAGTGATACTCTGGAGTCCTTTGAAGAATGAATTGAACTAGAGGATAACAACATTAAAAATTGAGCTAATTCATGAGGTCCTGTGACCTAAATTAGCAGACTGTTAGACACAGAGCTGTTACTATCCGGTTACATAATTATGAGTATCAGAGTCACAAGAGCATCCATTGCACAACTAGCAACCTTGGAAGAGGCAGCGAGTGTTTCATTTCTCACCAATGCACTAGGAATACGAAGTGAACAGCTGAATTTCCTCTGGTCAGTGAGGGGGTCTACATTGCAACTGCAATTGTGCCTCCCAGCCCAGGTAGACAGACTTGCACTAGCTTAACTTGAGCTAGCACGCTAAAAATAAATGTGAACATGGCTGCATAGGCAGCAGCTCGGACTAGCCACCTGAGCTCGGACCCAATGGGCTGGGTGGGCTTGGTGGACTCAGGTGGCTAGCCTGACCCACCACCCATGGCACAACTTCCACACTGCTGTTTTTAGCATTCTCACTTGAGTCTGTCTACCTGGGCTGGAAGGGCAAAGCCAGCTGCAGTGCAGACATACCCAAAGGTAGTGATAAATCCAGAAAATGTTTTTTGTTAGCATACGCCACCACAGTGAAAGTGCCTTTCTACCCCACCACCACCAGGCAAAGTTTAGGCATATTAATGCTCAATTTAGGGTTGCTTAGTCCTCTGCCCCAGCCTGCAGATATAATTCCTTCATCTTTCCAGAAGTAACACAAGGATTTCTCAGAAACCTAACAGTGATTATCAGAACACCCAGAAGAAGCTTTAAATCTCTACTACAGGACCCAACTTTCAAGTCAATTTTTATATGCAATCTGTACTTCAAATAAACTAAAAACCAGACACCAACCCCCAGTAGAGGAAACTTTAAATCTTATAAGAGGGGAGAGAGACTGTTACTTTCACCTCCTAATACAAGGAAAACACAAAAGGAATAAAAGACTGATGAGGAAAAAAATTCACAGAAAAGGATTATTACAAAACCTTACATTTGGTAAAACTTTCACAACTATAACGCACTAGAGATTTACAGTCCTGGACAGACTGATCTCTTTAAGTAGTTGTGGGGTGGTGGTGTTTTTTTCTTTTTAAATTAAATCTCTTACATACAAGATTGGGCCAGACAATTTCCAAAAGGGGGAAGAGAGTGACAGAAAATTTGAAGTATATGTACATTGGTAAAGGGAAGAATTTACAAGAATAAAGTGAAATCTAACCTAAAATGAGGAATTCTTAATTAACCAAAAACTAAATTCTCTCTCCAGTCCACATCAAGTATATGCCAAACCCTTGAAAGTCACAGTAGTCCACTAATTAATTATTCAATTTGGTGTAAAGATCCCAATAAGATATGTACTTCCTGGCAATTCCATAGACTGATAAGTTAGGTCTTCACTATCTCTGTTAGAACATCTACTCCATCCCAAGTCTAGTGGCAGATTATTCCCTACAGTACATTTCATAGTATTTATTGAGAGGCCTTGTAAATTAAGTGGATGACTTTTATTGAAAATACAGACCATTTTGAAATGGATGATTTCCAGAAACCCAGAGGGAGGCAGCTATGTTACTCATATGTAAAAGAAACAGACCTGTTCACTGTCTCATTCTGACTTGTTTCCTTTATGAATGTAAACAGAATAGATTTAATAGTGGATATATGTTTTCTATTTTTTCAATTGTTTACAGATTGATAGGTTATTGGCAATTGCTGATTTTGGACCTCAGGAAGAAAAAGACACTTTGGCTGAAAACGACTTTAGGTAGGTTTTTTGTTTTTTGTTTATTAAATGAAATTTTGCAACAAGTATTTTCATGTATGGATATCCGATTAAAAATGGAAAGAATATTTATTTAAAGATACAGAAAATAATTATGCTGTGTGTCTATTTTGTATTTATCTCTAGCCCCTCTTGTGGTATCTAATTGTTAGCATCTTAAGAATTTAGTATAATGGAGTTATGAAAAAAGACAAAGGAAATGTTAGCGCAGTTTAAAGAAATCCTTATATAGACATCTTGCCTTTCAAAAGAGTGACTGACTACCATATATAAATGTAAAGGGATATTGAGTAGTCAGTTATAACAAAAACCCACCCATAAGAAAAACAAACTGTAGGGGACAGTGTTTTACTTTGTATTTACAGTGTCTAGCACAATGAGCCCCACCTACTGATTGGAGCCACCACGTGATACCAAAATACCACAGATATTCTGTAAAGAGCCATCCTTACCTCTCTTACCCCTTAGATTATTAACACGGAAAACAATTAAAAAACCTACATTTACATCTTGCTCTTTATGCTTTGGATTCCTTGTGCATTTCACTCCATGTGGACATTTATTTCATAGTCTCTTTTGCCTTCTGGTTCTTGTGTGCTAGCACGGTGCTCCAGTGCATAGGTCACAAGTACTGCAAGGGAAAATGTATTTAATTTAGATGTATGGACCTTAGTGTGGCAGTGGAAAATGATTGGAGTAGTATTTGGGACAGAGTCACATGTAGGACCATGAAGAGCAACATGCAGCTCACTATTTTTGGGTTAACTGCGTGGATTTAAAAACCAGCAACTTTCTGCTCAGTTGGTGATCTCGGCATTTTCTGTTATCCCAATCTACAATATGCTCTTCTGCAGAGCATGGTGCTTCTGAAGGCAATAGCTATGTGCAGAAAGTCAGTAACCATAAGTCAAATGTTTTTGTTTCAGTAATTTACAGGCTGTAGGTTTCGAGCCATAGGTGCTGACTTGCCTTCTGCCCTATGGGTGCTTGACCCTGGCCCCGCCCCAATTCCACCCTCTTTCCCCAAGTCCCCACCCCTGTCCCGCCTCTTTACTTCCTCCTCTCCCAAGCGTGCCACATTCCCACTCCTTCCCCTCCCTCCCGGAAAGTCCTAAATGCCGCCAAACAGCTCTTAGGTGGCTGTCGAGAAGCGCTGGGAGGGGGAGGAGTGGGGACACAATGCGCTTGGGGGAAGAGAAGGCTAGGAGGGGGTGGGGGCCGGGGAAGCTTGGCTGCTGGTGGGTGTGGAGCACCCGCTAATGTATCCCCGTGGGTGCTCCAGCCCCACAGCACCCACGGAGTCTGCGCCTATGCTTCGAGTTTCCTGGATGGTAGGTTCTATAGAAGTGCAGTCTTAGCCCATTGGCTCATGACCTATGTCTTAGACTAGGGCAGGGGTCGGCAACCTTTCAGAAGTGGTGTGCTGAGTCTTCATTTATTCACTTTAATTTTAGGTTTCACTCACTCACTCATGCCCGTCACCCCAATCGGGGTATGGGCTGCCAACCACAGATCTCCAGAGTCCTTTATCCTGGGCCATTTGCTCTAGCTGGTTCCAGGTATAGCCCATTTTTATGCTATCAGCCTGAAGGTCGCGTTGCCAGGTGTTTCTTGGACGGCCTCTTTTCCGCTTGCCTTGGGGGTTCCACTGCAATGCCTGTCTAGTGATGTTGGTTGGCTGCTTGCGTAGTGTGTGTCCTATCCAGCCCCACCTTCTCCTTCTAATTTCTTCCTCTGCTGGAAGTTGACGGGTCCTCTCCAAGAGGTAGATGTTGCTGATGGTGTCTGGCCAGCGGATCTGGAGAATCCTTCTAGGGCAACTATTTATGAAGGTCTGGATCTTCCTGATGGTTGTTTTAGTTATCCTCCAGGTTTCAGCTCCATACAATAAAACTGATTTCACATTGGAGTTGAACAGTCTAATCTTTGTTGCCAAAGACAGCTCTCTGGAGCTCCAGATGTTCTTGAGCTGTAAGAAAGCTGCTCTTGCCTTACCGATCCTTGCTTTGATGTCTGCGTCCATGCCACCCTGTTGGTCGATGACGCTGCCTAGGTAGGTGAAGGACTGCACTTCTTCCAGAGGGCTTCCATTCAGTGTGACTGGGTCATTACTGATGGAGTTAATCTTGAGGATCTTGGTCTTGTCCTTGTGGATGTTGAGGCCAACCTGTGATGACGTGGCTGCCACTACGTTGGTCTTCTTTTGCATCTGCTGTTTGCTACGCGAAAGGAGTGCAAGGTCAACGGCAAAGTCCAGGTCATCAAGCTGGGTCCACAACGTCCACTGGATTCCGTTCCTACGCTCATAAGTGGATGTCTTCATAATCCAGTCTATGACAAGGAGAAAGAGAAATGGTGACAACAAGCATCCTTGTCTGACTCCGGTTCGCACCTGGAAGCTGTTTGTAAGCTGCCCTCCATGGATCACTCTACAGTGTATGCCATCATATAAGTTCTTAATCAGGTTGACCACCTTTACTGGGATGCCATAGTGCCGAAGGAGCTTCCAGAGAGTCTCTCGATCCACGCTATCGAATGCTTTCTCATAGTCAACAAAGTTGATGTACAACGAGGAGTTCCACTCCATAGACTGCTCGACTATGATGAGGAGCGTTGCTATCTGGTCCGTGCATGATCTATTTTGCCAGAAACCTGCCTGCTCATCTCGTAGCTGTGGATCGACGGCATCCTTCATTCTCTCTAAGAGGACTCAGTTGAAGACCTTCCCTGGCACCGACAGAAGTGTGATTCCTCTGTAGTTGGCACAATTGCTGAGATCTCCTTTCTTGGGGATTTTAATAAGATATCCCTCTTTCCAGTCTGCCGGAATCACTTCTTCTTCCCATATCTTCTCAAAGAAGGGGTACAGCATTTCCACTGAAGCATCCAGATCTACTTTCAGGGCCTCTACTGGAATATCGTCAGGTCCAGCCGCCTTCCTGTTCTTCATCATAGTGATGGCTTTTCTGATCTCATCTCTAGTTGGTCTGTCACAATTGATTGGAAGGTCTTCGTTGGCTGGGTCAATGTCTGGTGGATTTAGTGGTGCTGGTCTATTCAGGAGTTCCTCAAAGTGCTCCGCCCATCTATTCATCTGTTGTTCTATTTCTGTTATAGACTTTCCCTGCTTGTCTTTGACGGGACACTCTGGCTTGCTGAACTTTCCAGACAGTCGCTTGGTAATGTCATACAGCTGTTTCATATTACCGTTGTATGCTGCCTGCTCCGCTTCTGCTGCCAGTCCATCCACATAATCTCTCTTATCCTTCCTAATATTCCTCTTCACTACTCTATGGGCTTCAGCATACTCTTTTTGCACTTTAACCTTTGCTGCTCTAGTCCTGCTGTTATTAACTCTGCCTTCTTCTTCTTTCTATCTTCTATCTTAGTCAAGGTCTCTGCTGTGATCCACTCTTTCTGCTGGTATTTCTTGATTCCAAGCACTTCCTGGCATGCTGACCTAAGTGTCTCTCTCACTTTCTGCCATCTGTTGGGTACACTGTCTTCCTCTTCCTCAGACTGATCCTGTAGTACTGAAAACTTATTCTTCAGCGTCAGTCCAAAATCTTCCTTGATCTTATGATCCTTCAAAAGGCTAATGTTGTACTTCACTCTTCTATCTGACGCGTCTATCCAGTTCTTCTTCAGCTTCAGCTTCAATCTGGCCACCACTATGTGATGGTCGGACGCTACGTCTGCTCCTCTTCTAACTCTAACGTCCTGCAAAGATCTTCTGAACTTCTTGCTAATACAGACATGATCGATCTGGTTTTCTGTCGTGCCTGCTGGCGATACCCAGGTACTCTTGTGGATCCGCTTGTGAGGAAAGATGCTACCGCCTATGACCAAGTTGTTAAGTGCACACAGATCCACAAATCTCTCTCCATTCTCACTCATCTCTCCCAGAGCGTGGGTCCCCATGACTTGTTCATATCCTGTGTTGTCAGGTCCAATTTTGGCATTAAAGTCTCCCATAAGGATGGTGATATCTTTGTCTGAGAGAATCTCTAATATTTTCTGAAGTCTGTTATAAAAATAGTCTTTGTCCACCTCTTCACTGTCATTGGTTGGAGCATAGCACTGTACAACATTCATCTTAATCCTCTTCATTTTAGTTCTGAAGGATGCTGTGATGATCCTGGAACCATGTGCCTCCCAACCAATCAGTGCTCTCTGTGCCTGCTTGGACAACATGAAGCCTACTCCCTGTGTGTGGGGTGCGTCGCTCTCTTCATGTCCGGAATACAGCAACAGCTCTCCTGTCAACAGTCGTCTCTGTCCAGCTTGCGTCCATCTTGTCTTGCTAATGCCTAGTAGGGTCAGGTTGTTACTCCTCATCTCTGCTGCGACCTGCGCCGTCTTTCTTGACTCGTACATGGTCCTCACGTTCCATGTACCGATGGTAATCCTCCTGGTTGCAAGAAGGGTAATCGGCTTAGTGGCTTCCTCACGACTTTCACCACCCAGCGTCATGCGTCTTCGAGTTGAAGACCCTTCTTTTTCCAGGCTAAAAGTCTCTGTTATCTCTATTGTTGGCGTTTCTGTAGCAGGTTGATTTTTTACGGAGTGGAGTTGCTAGCCCCACGCCCAACCCTCCTCCTTTATCCTGACTTGGGACAGGCAGATGGCCCCAAAGGACCTCTCTGGTGGAGTTTTAGGTTTCATGTGCCGGTAATACATTTTAACGTTTTTTAGAAGGTCTCTCTCTATAAGTCTATATATAATATAACTAAACTACTGTTGTACGTAAAGTAAACAAGGTTTTCAAAATGTTTAAGAAGCTTCATTTAAAATTAAATTAAAATGCTGATCTTAAGCCGCCCGCCTGCTCAGCCCACTGCCAGCCTGGGCTTCTGTTCACCTAGGCCGGCAGCGGGCTGAGCGGGGCCGGCAGCCGGAACCCCAGGTTGGCAGCGGGCTGAGCGGGGCCAGCAGCCAGAACCCCAGACCGGCAGTGGGCTGAGCAGGGCCAGGACCCCAGACCGGCAGCAGGCTGAGCAGGGCCGGCACCCCAGACCAGCAGCGGTCCAAGCGGCTCAGCCCGCTGCCGGTCTGGGGTTCCGTCCGCTAGCTCCTGCCAGCCAGAGTCCCGGTTGCCAGCCCCACTCAGCCCGCTGCTGGTCTGGGGTTCTGGCTGCCGGCCCCTTGGCAGCTGGGGTCCCAGCCGCCGGCCCTGCTCAGCCCACTGCCAACCTGGTGCTCGGGGTGGGGATGTGGGGGGTGCAAGAGTCAGGGCAGGGAGTGTGGGGAGTGCAGGAGTCAGGGCAGGGGATATGGGGGGGGGGGGGGGGGGGGGGGGGGGGTGCAGGAGGCAGGGCAGGGGGGGGGGGAGGTGTGAGGGGGTGCAGGAGTCAGGGCATGGGGTGTGGGGGGGCTGGGTATGTGTGGAGGGTGCAGGAATCAGGGATGGGGTCGTGGGGGGGATGCAGGGGGCTGGGGTGCAAGGGAGGTGCAGGAGTCAGGGCAGAGGGCTGGGGGGGTGTGAGGGGCTGCAGGAGTCAGGGCATGGGGTGTGAGGGGGCTGGGTATATGTGGAGGGTGCAGGAATCAGGGATGGGGTTGTGGGGGGGATGCAGGGGGCTGGGGTGTAAGGGAGGTGCAGGGATCAGGGCAGAGGGCTGGGGGGGTGGGCTGGGATTGGGGGGTGCTCCCTGCCCCCTGAGCGGCTCATGGCAGGGGGCTGGAGGGATACACCCCGCTCCTACCCTCCTTCCCCCTGCCTCTTCTCCGCCTCCTTACTGGTCTGAGGAGCGAGGGCGCTGGGGCTGCTCTTCTCCCCTCCCTCGCAAGGGCCATCGGCAGCAGGGAGGGAGAGGAGGCAGGGCTCGACGCAGCACGTTGGGGGAAGAGGCGGGGGAGGGGGAAGCTTGGCTGCCGGCGGAGCCTGCCCTACAGCAGCAGCCGGCAGGACCAAACTTGCTTCTGCCCCTGCCAGAGAGAGCAGTAGGCAGGGGGCGGAGAAGAGCGGGCTGGGTCGGGCAAGATTTTTAATGGCATGCTGCTGCCTGCCGGGGTCCGGCTCAGCCCGCTGCCGGGGTTCGGCAGCGGGCTGAGCGGGACCCCGGCAGGCAGCAGCGTGCCATTAAAAATCAGCTCGTGTGCCGTCTTTGGCACGTGTGCCATAGGTTGCCGACCCCTGGACTAGGGAGACTTCTGTACTAAATTTTACAGTATATTGAAGGACATGTCACTTTAGATCCCAAAATTTTAAGTATTTATAACATGCTAATTTCCATAATACTTGAAGCCCTAAAAAGTTCTAAAGTAAGTGATATCTGCATCACTCTTTCCCCTTCACAGTAGGATTTGTTTTATATAGTGGTAATGCTAAGTCAGAGGGCTTATCTACCAAGTTTACTGATATAATTATATTGCTCTAGTTATACCAGTATAACTGCCCCTGTGGACAGTCTTATTCTGGAATAAGCAGTATAGTTCTACCAGTATATTTCCTCATGTAGACAAGCCCTGAGTCTTGAATTTTTCTCTGAAGATGGTAAAAAATATAAATAAATTCTAATCCCTTGAGGAACTGAACTGAACAAACTATTTAGAATGATGGTGATACCAGGCTGAATGCTATTGAAACTGTATTTTCAGACTGGAAATAAGGTGTAAATTTTTAATGGTGAGAGCAATTAACCATTGAACAATTAACCAAGGGTCATGGTGGATTCTCTATAACTAGGGCCTTATCAAATTCACAGTCCATTTTGGTCAATTTCATGGTCATAGGAATTTTAAAATCATCAATTTCATGATTTCAGCTATTTAAATCTGCAATTTCATGGTGTTGTAATTGTAGGGGTTCTGACCCAAAATGGGGTGGGGGGAGTCGCAAGGTTATTGTAGTGGGGGTTGTGGTACTGCTACCCTTACTTCTGCAATGCTGCTGGCAGCGGCACTGCCTTCAGAGCTGGGCAGCTGGAAAGCAGTGGCTGCTGGCCAGGAGCCCAGCTCTGAAGGCAGAGCCACGACCAACAGCAGCACAGAAGTAAGGATGGCATGGTATGGTATGGCCACCCTTACTTCTGTACTGCTGCTGGTGGGTTGCTGCCTTCAGAGATGTCGCTCAGCCAACAGCTGCCGCTCTCTGGCTGCTCAACTCTGAAGTCAGCACAGAATAAGGGTGGCAATACTGTGATCCCCCCTAAAATAACCTTGTAACCTCCCTGCAATTCCCTTTTGGGTCAGGACCCCCATTTGAGAAACACTGGTCTCCCCTGTGAAATCTAAAAGCGCACAAAAGACCAGCTTTCACAGTCCATGATGTATTTTTCATGGCCATGAATTTGGTAAGGCCCTATCTATAACTGACAATTTTCAGATCAAGTTTGGATGTTTTTCTAAAAGATCTGCTCTAGGAATTATTTTGGGGAAGTCCTGTGGCCTGTATTATACAGGTCAGACTAGATCAGGGTTCTCAAACTATGGTTTGGGACCCCAAAGTGGGTTGCGACCCCATTTTAAAGACTGGTGTTAGACTTGCTGGGACCCAGAGCTGAAGCCAAAGCCTGAGCCCAACTGCTTGGGGCTGAAGCTAAAGCCAGAGGGCTTGAGCCCTGGGCAGCGGGGCTCAGGTTACAAGCCCCCCACCCGGAGCTGAAGCCCTTGGGCTTTGGCCTCCACTGCCCAGTGCGGCAGGGCTTGGGTGGGCTCAGGCTTCGGTCCCCCCTCCTGGGGTAGTGTAGTAATTTTTGTTATCAGAAGGCGGTCGTGGTGTAATGATGTTTGAGAACTGCTGGACTAGATAATCACAATGGTCCCTTCTGGGCTTGGAATCTGAGAGTTTAAAAAGGCTTCTCTGTTTCCCTCTGATTTCACACGATGATCTCTTGATAAAGAAGCTTAGTAAAGGTCATTGTGCCTTAAAGTTTTATAGTACAGTTTACCATGTGCCTCTTAAAAAATACTTTTCTTTTCGCAGTGAATCAAAGTCTTCTGCATCATCTTCTGACATGGCAGCTTCGTCCATCCCAGCTAATCTTTTTGGGATCGATCATGAAGTGCTCAATAAGCAAATAATGGAGTACAAAAAAATGAAAAAGGTGAAGGACACAGAAGGCATTGGGTGGGCAGAACAGCAGCAGATGCAGCTGGCTGAGATACAAAAGCAAAAGAAAATGAAAAAGAAGAAAATAAGGGATCCCTTTGAGAATGATATCACACCACAGAAATATCTGCTGGACAAATATAGTGAAGATTCTTTGGATGGTGACATTGCACCTTCTCAAGATAGTGACCTGGAGTATGAATTACAGGAAGTGGTAGATGAACTAGAGGTAGATGATGACAGAAATCCATCTACTACCAAACTTAAGTGAAATTAAAAAGCTTTTAAAAAAAAGAAAAAACTGTTGGTAATGAATTATATTAGAGTAACCACTGAATTACAACTTCTGTGCTGCTTATTCACCACCTCCTTTCCATCTTCTCCAAAATATGTGGAAATGGATCAAGTACTACAAGTTTTCATGGGAAAATAATTTTTAAAATCCTGCTTATAATAAATCTGAGAAGATGAGCTCTTCTGAACTAAAATAATTAAGAAATATTATGGTTGTCAAAAGTAAAATACCCTTATCAGCTTTAGACTGAGATGAAACTTCTTGTAAATACATTATGTACCACCCAAAAAGCTTATTACCTATGCCTTTATATAAGTGCAAGGAACTATCAAAAATGAAAATATTTCAAAAAACTTGATTACAGTAGAAACATGCTAAACTACATTTCAGCATCCTGCAAACTTTGTATATGCACAAAAATGTGCTTTCCTTACTTCTCAAAGATTTAATAGAGTGCTTTGTGCTGTGATCTCATATTACTAAAGCTTATTTTTACAAACTATGTATAAGTATTGAAGTATTACATCTAAAATAGACAAATTACCATAATAGTATGACTTCCATGCAGTCAGGCAAGATTCAGGCTCCAAGAGAGACATTTTTTTGCTGGGAGTAGAATGAGTGGTCATGGCCTATGTACTTATTTCCTTGGCTACATTTTTTTACAATATGCACATGTTTCCTGTTTCTACCTTTGAGCAGGGGCGGACACTAAACAGCTCACAATTTGCAGAACTTTAGAAAGCAACTGATATTCAAACCTTCAGCTAACCAGCAGTTTCTCTTGTAACTCTCCTTCCCCTTGGGCCCTTGTTTTCACTGAGAAAAAGGGTGTGTTTTGATGATGTACTAGCCCTGGTCTACATTACAAACTTATGTCGTATAATTACATTGCTCAGGGGGTGTGGAAAATCCACACCCCCTGAGTGACACAGTCATACCAACCTAACTCATAGTGTAGACAGCACTATGTTGAAGGGTGGGCGTCTCCCATCAATGTACCTACTGCCTCTCGGGGAGGTGGAGTGCCTACATCAAAGAGGAAGTTCTCCCATCTGCATAGGTAGCATCTTCATTAAGGGCTACAGCTGCAGCTAACGGATTAGCTGGTGAAGGTAAACCCTAGGCTTCCCCAGGGATGACCTTAGCCATCTAACATGTTAAAACTACAACCTGCCTTGTCTCCACTAGGATATTAACACATTACAGTAGGAAAAAAGGTAGGGTAGTTAGATATGGTCTGTATCTCTAACTCCTCTCCAAATCATTAAAAATTCTTTAAGAGCATGTAACTTGAATGACAGTTGAGGCATCTCTTTACTAGGGAAAAAAGGTGTGTTCTTAACTTGAGTTAGCTAACACAAGATAAAATCCTAGTGAAGGCACAGTAGTTTGTAGTTTTCATATGAGTTAGCAGATAGAGTTAAAGACTAGGTGAGTGAAAATAAGGCTTATTCACTACTCCTAGCCTCATGAAGACCAAAATGGCTTAGTCTTTCTGATGGCTTCACAAATGTCTCATTCTCCCTCTCCACTTCTGTTTTGCACCTCAAGGGGAAGCCAGTCTGAACAAATCTTCCTTACATAGGCACAAAGGCGGAGATAGCTGCTGTTATCTGGCCATTCCATTTAGAAGTCTCATTTTTCCTCATCAAGTAACTTGATACCCAGCTAGGTTTATCTGCAGAGCCTGTTAACTTCTGTTGTTTCCCTTCCCCAGCTCAAGTACAGGCTCTAGAGATATACATTTGCTTCATCTACAGTTTTTTTCCTGCAGAGTTTGCGATGCTTTATTTGTTCAGTTCATAATTCAGTAATTCACAAGGGGTCTCCTGCTTGCTAGTGCAAATCAGCAAGATCCCACTACAGTGAGATCAGTTGGGTTGTGTCTGCACTGTGTTCTAATGTTCCGTGCTTAAGACATATGAACTCTTTTCCCCTGAGTGCATCCATCAGTACAACATTCTTCTAAGATTCTTCTGTTTGGATCAATTCAATTTTGACTCCCTTTTTTCATTACAATTATTTTTTGCCCATTTCATTTTACAGATTAATGTCAGATTTTTAACAATGTACAAAATCTCAGTGTCTCTTTGGGCATAATACAAACTATATCTACACACACACACACACACACACACCCCCACCCACCCACCCCTGACAGTCTTAGGTTCTGCTCTTGGAAGAGTATGGCAAACATTTTTAGTTCATAATTTAATATCAAACCAGACAAAAACAAAACTTGTCAACCAAACACCACGAAGGAATGTGCTGATTATTACTATTTTTTTTAAAAGAAAATACTCTGCCACAGTGGCACCAATGTTAGTCTGAGCAATGAGGTATTTATTCCTTTGGAGGAAGGACTGAAGAAAGGGTGAAGTACTATAAATGTTACTGTAGATAGTATCCTCATAAAAATACTAATTGAGGCCATGACTCAGCAATTCATTGAAGTACATGCCTAACTTTAAGCATTTGAATGTTTTCACTACAATGTGCTTAACCACTGTGTGGAATCAAAGCCTGGTATTCCATACACTCAGTCTCTCTCTCTTTTAAATTTCTTGCTATAGCCAAATATATGAACTAGGGACAATTTTAGTTGTCTTTCGAGCTAAATCCCAACCTGCCCCTCCCTGGGCATATACCTTGTTCAACACTGGTTATCTGCTCCTCCAGCCCAGTGGAATGCTCAACAATAACAGTAAAGCCTTGTCGGCATGGGAGACCGAACTTTCTCTGTGGGTGGTCCAAGACCTAAGTACCATCACAAACTTTACCCCTTTCCACTCCAGGTGCATTTCTTTGACCCTGCTTTACGTAACACATAGCAACAGGGGTGTGTGTGTGTGTGTGTATATATATATATATATAATAAAGACTCTCCACTGCACATGTTTTTCCCTCTGGGAGGGAGAGGATGAGAGAACCAACAACAGGTGACAGAAGGCCCTCAGATGCTATGGTACATGAATAGACAGGTGGCTCTAGGTCCCTAATACAGCCCTTTTTCCCCTCTAAGTTTCCTCTCAGGCCATTTGCCTGTGAATATCGGGTAATCCTGGCTGTTTTTCTTAACTATTTTAAGGGTCCTGCAGGTCTCTTCAAAACCCACCTATTGCCTACACCTCCAACTTTATTTAACCAGTTTGAACAATAGCATTCAGCAACTCTTCTACTACTTACTGCCAGAGGGAAAGCCTAATCTTACAAGATCCTGGCAGTGCTTTTCTTACTGCTCACAGTCTAGCTCCCTGACCCTTTCTGAATCCTGCTTCCTTTCTCCCCAGAGCCAACAGCCCTGCAGATTCAGCCCCCCCCCCCAAATTCCAGACAGACAGTCTCAGTGGACTCCATCTAGGAGTCCAATCCTCTGTGTCTCCGTGTACCCAGCAGCATATAATCTTTGCTCTTCATCCAACAATGTACCCTATCATACAATTTTGCTTAACAGTTATCCTATAACAGCATGTCTTATCCTACAATTTCAAGATAACAGTCCCTTCTGCACATCATCTAGTCACTAGAGTCCTAGGGAAAATTCCAGACATCTGAAATAGAAGCAAAGCAGGCCTATGGTGTATGCCTATGAATCCTTGTTTAGAGAGGAACAGCTGCTTCTAGCCACTTCTGCTTGCACTGAGAGGAGCGTAACCACAGCCAGGTTGTCCAAGAAAGAGAGGAACTACTACCTAGCAACTAACTAGTAGCTACAGGCAAGAAAGGTCCATTCTGAACTTGATAGTAGAGAAATAGATGGAAAAACCAAGTACAATGGAAAAGGGGCAGGCAGAGGAAATCCTATGAAGCGTCTGGAAAAATATATATATACACAAACTAATGACTCAGAAGAGAGTGACAGCAAGAGGAAAGAGTCATATCAAGATATCTGGAGATAGTTAAAAGGGAAAGCAGGTCCAAAGAGAAATACTGAAAGATCTTTGATAGGGTAACAAGTCTTGTGGATGGGCGGGAAGCAGTAGATGTGGTGTATCTTGACTTTAGCAAGGCTTTTGGTACTGTCTCACATGGCCTTCTCATAAACAAACTAGGGAAATAAACCTAGATGAGCTGCTATAAGTGTGTAACTGGTTGGAAAACCGTTTCCAGAGTGTAGTTATCAGTGGTTCACAGCCAAGCTGGAAGGGCATATCAAGTGGAGTCCCACAGGTACCAGTTCTTGGTCCAGTTCTGTTCAATATCTCCATGATTTAGATAATGGCATAGAGCAGGGGTGGGCACACTACGGCCTGGGGGCCACATCCGGCCCTTCAGACGTTTTAGGCTGGCCCTTGAGCTCCCGCCAGGGAACGGGGTCCAGGGCTTGTCCCGCTCCAACACTCCAGCTAGGTTGTGGGCTTGCCCCGCTCTGCGCATACCATGGATTCGCACAGCTCCCAGAAGCAGCGGCATGTCCCCCCTCCGGCTCCAACGCGTAGGGGCGGCCAGGGGGGCTCCGCACACTGCCCCCGCTCCAAGCGCTGCCCCTGCAGCTCCTGTTGGCCGGGAGCCACAGCCAATGGGAGATGCAGGAGCAGCACCTGCGGACGGAGCAGTGTGCAGAGCCGCCTGGCCGCGCCTCCACGTAGGAGCTGGAGGGGGGGACATGCCGCTGTTTCCGGGAGCTGCTTGAGGTAAGCACCGCCTGGAGCCTGCACCCCTGCCCCAGTCCTGATCCCACCCCCCACCCTCCAAACCCTTCAGTCCCAGCCCAGAGCCCCCTCCTGCACCCCCAACCCCTCATCCCCAGCCCCATGCCAGAGCCCTCACCGCCCCGGACCCCAACCCCCTGCCCCAGCCCCCTCCCACATCCTGAACTCCTCATTTCTGGCCCCACCCCAGAGCTCGCTCCCCCAGCCAGAACCCTCACCCCCTCCCGCACCCCAACGTCCAGTGCCGTGAGCATTCATGGCCCACCATACAATTTTCATACCCAGATGTGGCCCTCAGGCCAAAAAGTTTGCCCACCCCTGGCATAGAGAGTACACTTATAGTTTGAAGATGATACCAAGCAGGGAGGGGTTTCAAGTGCTTTGGAGGATAGCATTAAAATTCAAAATGATCTGGACAAACTGGAGAAATGGTCTGAAGTAAATAGGTCTGAAGAAATTCAATAAGGACAAATGCAAAGTACTCCACTTAGGAAGGAACAATCAGTTGCACACATACAAAATAGGAAATGACTGCCTAGGAAGGAGTACTGCAGAAAGGGATCTGTGGGGTCATAGTGGATCACAAGCTAAATATGAGTCAACAGTGTAATACTGTTGCAAAAAAAGCAAACATAATTCTGGGAAGTAATAGCAGGAGTGTTGTAAGCAAGACACAAGAAGGAATTCTTCTGCACTACTCTACACTGATTAGGCCTCAACTGGAGTACTGTGTCCAGTTCTGGGTGCTACATTTCAGGAAAGATGTGGACAAATTGGAGAAAGTCCAGAGAAGAGCAACAAAAATGATTAAAAGTCTAGAAAACATGACCTATGAGGGAAGATTGAAAACATTGGGTTTGTTTAGTCTGGCGAAGAAAACACTGAGAAGGGATATAACAGTTTTCAAGTATGTAAAAGGTTTTCATGAGGAGAAGGAAGAACATAAGAACAGC